TGGGGGGGCCATCCTCATTCGCCATGAACCGGCCCCACCAAGCAGAGAGTTCAGGATGTGGCTCAGCCTCTCTGGGACTCGGAAGTTTCCAGAAGCTACTTCCTGGGGCAAAGTGCTTTCCCTCTGGGCCTAGGGTCCGAGACAGACCCTCCGTGACAGGCACGGCCCTGACCCTGAAGTGGCCGCCCGAGGTTGCAGGGTTCTCCGCGACCTCGCACGGTCACAGCTGCCGGCTGTCGGGGTCCTGGGAAGGTGACTCACAGTGAAATCCGCATCCCAGGCTCCGTGGAGAATGGGCTCAGCAGCTGGAGTTGAGGCACAGGGCGCTGCAGGCTCCCCTGGAGGCCGCCCCGCGGGCCTCCGGAGACAAGACGGCAGCCTGAGTCCTGCGTGGAGCGGAGGCGCACAGCCAGCCACGTGAGTTCCCCCGAGAAGGGACACCCCGTGAGGGGCCGTGTGTGGGCACCGCCCGCAGAGCCACTGCGCCCACCACCAAGCTTCACGGGCGCTCTCTCCCGGCTCCGCTCGGCTGCCATTGGTTTTGCTTTTGAAGCACATAGTAGGTGCCAAATAAAACCTACAATAATTGGAACAAGTGTTTGTGCAAAATTTCCTCCGTCTTTAAAATTCACACATCTTAAAAGCTGACCAACATGTTTTCAACTTGCAACAGCCGTAGAAAGAAACTCAGCTGCCCCACAAGGCTTCCTGACTCCTAGGCTGCAAATTTTATTTCCCCTTCGGTCAAAACATGCCCATAAATCTCAGCCCCACGATCATGGCCGATGTGAGGTCATATAAAGCTCTGCTTTTCCAGAATCCCCCTGTGCACAGGTGGAAAAGCTCAGGTTTGCAGAGCACGCGTTCCCTGAGGCCGTGCGGCCCTGAGGTCAGGATTCCGTCCCCGCTGGAGCCCCACCTGTGGCCGTGACTACCCTGGACGGGCAGGAGGCAGGGCGCCCAGCGGAGGCCGGGCCGCCACAGGACCTGCCCCCCCTCATCTCCCGACAGGTACCCGGGCTCCAGCAGCGACCACCCTCACGTGTTCACCCAAACGCCACAGCCTGTGTTCTCCCTGGCCCAGACCCAGCTGTGGTCCTGGGTCTGCTCTGAAGATGCGGAAGCTCTGGTCTGGGGCTGGAGTCAAGCTGTGGCTCCCTCTGGTCTCACGTCGTCTCTCCAGGGTTAGCTGCTTGTTGGTTTGGGTCCTGTTTTGTGTGACCCTCCATCAGGTTGACAAAGGGCAGGGAAGGCGCACGGCTTTGCCTGCCCTGGGGACTCTCCAGGGAGTTACTCAGAGAAAAGGCTCTGAGAGCAGCCGCCAGGGACCTTCTGTGCCCAACAGATTCCTTGGAGGACATTTCCAGAGCTGACCTCACAGCGGAAATTCCAGAAAGAACAAGTGGCCCTGGCTGGTTGCTCAGTGGTTAGAGCACAGGCCCACAGCCTGAAAGGTGGCAGGTTCCATTCCCAGTCAAGGGCACGTACCTCGGTTGCAGGTTTGATCCCCTATCCTGACGGGGCACATGTGGGAGCCAACTAGTCCATGTTTCTCTCTCTCTCTCTCTCTCTCTCTCTTTCTTTCTCTCTTCCACTCCTCCCCCCTTTTCACTCTCTCTCTAAAAGATCAATGGAAAAAATATCCTCGGGGTGAGGATTAAAAAAAGAAAGAACAAGTGGAGAAAGTTACGAGGCAGACCTACAAGCACGCTCCTCAGTCATCACCGGCCATCTGTCACATTCGTGACTCAGGAGATTCCCTGGACCAACAGCCTGGGGACCTGGCGGTCCCCGGACATAGTCTGGGAACAGGAGTCGCTCACTGACACTGGGGAAGGCCCGGGCTGCTGGAGATGGTTTTATGTGAGGATACACTTAGATCATCGGTGCTGTCAACACCAATGAACGGAGGCGTCAGACGAGCCCCTCTTGGCTGGAAGGGCACAGTCACGTCCCCATGAGGCTGTGCAGAACCCTCAGGAACAGCCACCCCCTCCTTGCCATCTGTTACCACCCCAGTGACCCATCACACCCCAATAATGGCAGGAGCCCAAACCCAGGAATGCAGACAACTGACCAGCCTTGTCTTCTGTGTCATTGATCTTGTCCTCGGGCAAAGCTGAGCCAGACTGAGAGGCTGGGGGGCACTAGGTGAGGAGGGATGGGGAAGAAAGATGATGGGAGGTGAGCAGGCGGGCCTGGGGCATGAGGTGAGCGGGACTCCATCCTAAGCCCCCCCCCCCCGTGGGGGCTCAGCTGGGAACTCCCTCCTCACTTGGGCCCTTTGTGACTCGCCACAGGCTGGGTTGTGGAGGGTGTCTCCAAAACCTAGCTCCAGGGGCTGAGTTCTGCAGAACACATATGCTTTCTCTTAGGGGAGGAGGAAACTGAGAGAGGGGTGAGAGAGAGAGAGAGAGAGAGAGA